AAGCTTATATAGTGCCTTTTGATTACATGAAAGCTAGTCCTCAGAAAGGGAGCATTCAAGTCAGCTTACCTCAGGGGCTTCTGAGTCCTGTATCTGAAAAACATTGTGTTTCAGCAATGTTAGAGATTTATCTTACCTGGATAACAGTAAACCAGCGGGAAGCCTGATGACTACACAGTAAAGGCATGGAAAGGGCAAGTCTGGGTCATAGGAAAAGGGGAAAAAAGAAAAGCTTTTTTTGGGGGGGGATAAGAGGTGGACTAGAGTGCAGATGGGTGAGTCTTTTGGGGATTAGAGTGAAAGAGAATAAAGATCTCAAAATTCGGGGCAGAATGGATAGTGGCACCTTCACAATGGTAAAGAACTGCATATGGGAAGATCTGTTTGACATTTGAGTGTTGATCTGGGTAGGGGTTGGGGGGTGGGGTGTTGTGGTATTGGTAGTTTGACCTTTGATCCTGTGTAAGGGATACAGCTGCTGGTGATTGACAGAGGGGTTTGGGGAGTACTTTTTCTGGCTGATACCGAGTAAAAAAAAAAATTCTGCCTTGCTTCTGTTTCCTCTTGGTGTTTTTTTTTGTTTTCTGCTCGTTACTTCTTTTACTTTTTAAATTAAAATACAATTACATCATTTCCCCCTTCCCTTTTCTCCCTCAAAACCCTCCCAAATACCTTCTTGTCCTCTTTCAGACTCATGGCCTCTTTCTTCATTGGCCATTGTTACGTGCTCAGCCTGTACACTGTTATTTGTATGCGTGCTTTCATTTAGTTTTGATAACCAGGTGACATGCTTCTTTCCTGGGTAAGATTGTTTCTCCTGATCTCAGCATTCCTTTGTTATCTGGAGTGCTGTTGTGCAGGGCTGGGGATGCCTAAGCGTACCTAGTTTATCATGTCTATTGTCCTTGCTCAGCTCATGTTTAGGGAGTCATGTTAGTAAGCATTTATGGATGTAGGTGCTGACATCACTTGGAGATTATTGTCATAGCCAACCAGCTAACACTCTTACAGTCTTTTGTCCCCACATTTGCACAATGTTCACTGAGCCTTAGGGAGTTGTTTTGTAAATGTGTCTGTTAGGACTGGACTCCTAAACTCTGCCTTCTGATTGGTTGTGTTTTTTATAATTGCTCTTCATCTGTCAAAAGGGGATGTTTCCTTAACAAAGAGTAAGGATTATAATTGTCTGTGGTATAAGGACAAATATTTAGGATGTAGTTAGGGATAATGCTGGTTTAGTAAAGTGTTTGGGTTTTAGGTTCTTCTCCAAGATCCATTACTTCACCAGCCCTGGGTAGTGCTAGGTTTCTAGTATCAGGCATGATTGGCTTCTTGTTCAATAAGCCTTCAGTGAGCTTAGAGAGCTCAGTAAGCTCAGTAAGCTCAATGAGCCTTAGAGAGCTGTTGGTCACCACCATGGTATGTATGCCGTTACTGCACGCTTAGCGTTACTGTGCCATGCTGATAGTTTTGTGTAGCTTAGAAGGATTGTATTTCATTATAGTTTATGAGCATCATAGCTGGTTAGGAGTGTTGGCTGATTCCCTCTTTTGAAAGTTTGCATGGTGCCTTTTGATTCTATGAAAGCTAGTCCTCAGAAAAGGGACATTCAAGTCAGTTCCAGCTCAGGGGCCTATAGGTCCTATGTCTAAAAAACATTGCGAAATAAATAAATAAATAAATAAACAAATAAATAAATAAATAAATAAATAAATAAATAACATTGCATTTTCAGCAATAGAGACTTATCTTCTGGATTTGTTTTCACTCATTTAAAGTTTATAAAATGCAACTGAAACAGACAAAGCTCATTTGACTGCATGCCCTTTCCATGCAGCCACTGCAAAATAGTCACAAACAAACTAAACACAACAAAACCCCAAAACCAAACCAAACCAACTAACTAACCAGACAAAAAACCCTTAGCTTCTGAAATTTCGTGGATCATAGGTACAGAAGGCCAGAGCCCAGTCATGGGCTTACTATGTTAATTTATCAGGTTAATTCGTTTTCTATCGGATAGCTTTACAATAATGATGAGAGCGTAGCTTCTCTACTTCCTGTGTCTTGTTTTTGTTTGTTTGTTTAACAACAGCAGTTATGCAGCATCAAAGCCACAATGGAAGAACACCAGCAAGAAACTCACTGTTCCATGGTCTCATCCAAGAAGAAGAACCAGCCCATCTCTTTTCCTGTGGCTTAGTGATATCACACCTCCAAATAAATTCTACTGCTAAAAGTGTACAGACCCGTACTTGTTGATTCTTGCATCTGAGACAGGGAGACCAGCATTCTAAGCTGAGGCTATTCCACTATCTACTGCTATTCCTACCCAAGCACCCAAAGCCAAGAGCAAGAAGTACAACCTACTTCTCTGCAATCTCTCCCCAGCTCTAGCATTTCAAGTTTCAGGATGCCCTGAGGGGGATTTGGTGGGTGGGAAGACTTCTTTTAGGTTCCAAAGAGTCACGTGTCATTTCTCACAGAAATCTTCTGATCAGAGGTGTAGACGATGGCCCTTTGGTTCCCTGAAACTGAAAATTTAAGATGTTTCATGATATTTGGTATTGTGGGGCCATTTCTGAAGTGAAACATTCCCTTTGATGGAAGGAGCTGGGGTCATAAAACTCAGGAGAATCATGTGATGCAAGAAGCTCACTTCGGGAAGTTGTACGACCCAGAGGCCCCCTCCCTAGGCTTATTAGGCAGCAAGTGATGGGTGGGATAGAGGAGGGTTCTCTTCAGCTGCCTGTAAGTCGGGCAAGGGATTTTAGAAATGTGGCTCTCATAAGCCGCGGGCCCATGATCACTCAGATGGGCCTTCTGGCCGACGCATCTTCCTTGGTCATGCAAGTAACTCCAACAAACCAGCTGGTTCGCCAGCCTATTCAGTGGTGGAGTTATGTCTGTAGCCTGAGTTGAATTTTTATTCCTAATGTTTGGTAGGCCTGAACTCTTCTGGGTGCTTGCTGAAGCTGAGCTCTGTGTGTGATGTTCCTGCTGCAGCCTTCATGGTCCTAATTCCCCTCTTGGCTGAGGCTGAGGGAGTACCTCCATGGACCTTGATCATTATGTCTGGGTTAGGGTACTATTGGTCAGTCCCAAGCTTGATCGTGTCCCAGAGCCTCCATCCAAAGCAAAAATGACACAAACTTCATCATAGAGACCCAAATGCTCCTCTTCTAAACAGCTCTCAACTGATATGTTGGGGAAATGGTCTTATGTACTGTGTATTCAGATGCTGGTTCCTGTACCCAGAGATCTGGTCGCAGTCCTCTGAAGAATCTCCTGTATCAAGGTTGTATAAAGAATGACCCTCAATTATCTCTGCTTGGTTAAAAAGAAAAAAAACTGAAGAGCCAATGACGGGGCAGAGAGGACAGGAGGCAGGACTTCCATTCCTAGTTGGGGATCTCAGGTAGAGAAAAAAAGAGGAGAAGGAGGTCATGAGGACAAAGATGGAGTAGAAGCTTTCCAGGGCAAGACTGGATAGCCAGACCAGTGTAGACAGGTTAGGCTAAATGAGTATATGCCTACTTGCAGTACTTAAAGCTTGTTGAATAAATGTGAATAGGTCTCTGTGTCATTATTTGGGAGCTAGAATGATTATTGGAAAAGGCCCCAACTAATACCACAATTCAACAATAATGGATAGGAGGAAAACATCCACCAACCATGTTATTCAGCCTTTAAAAGAGCATACCACGAATATCACTACGAAATGGGTGAACCCTAAGGTCATCATGCAACAACCATGTACCACACATTTGTAAAAGCAATAATTAGTTTACAACTAGTAAACTAGGGCCCTGATGTCTGGAAGAGAAAAAAATGGTGGAGGGGTAAAGTCTACAAGACCTAGTATTCATCTAGGGGGTAATAAGTTCTAAAATTTACAGTTAACGAGTGTACATATTAGGACTATTAATTCTGACAAAACACAGATGTTTCGAGAACACAAAATTTTATAATTGTACAGTTTCCTTTTCCTCACTGCCACTAATTTTGCATCATGGTACCTACAACCCTGCCTTATTAATTTCTTATTTATTACCACCTGGGTATATCAGAACCCAGCTAACTCAGTTTTCACGCTTACTCTGTTTGTGGCTGTTGGTACTGGTTGCTCCGTACAGGGGGGGTGAGCTGCGGTGACAGGAGATTTGTCAGCCATGGATGCAGGGGAGATGGGCTTTGCCTGTGCAGAGCTGGACATTCTCGGGAAAGCATGGATGGCAGCCCGCGCCACTCTCTAAAGCTTCTCCAACTCGCCTTGCCTGGTTGCTCTTCCCGTCTTTATGCGTTTCTAAGTGTGCAGTGTCACCCTGCTGGCTAGCTTATGTAAATTTGACTGCAGCTAGAGGGTCAGTGTCTCAGTTGAGAAAACTCCCTCATCAGACTGGGCTGCGGGCAAGTCTGTGGTGCATTTTCTTGACTGATGATTGGCGGGTGGGCCCACTTCACTGTGAGCATTGCCGCCTCTGGGCAAGGAGTTCTGAACTGTGTAAGCAAACAAGTGGAACAATTCATGGAAAGCCAGCCAGGTAGCAGCGCTCCTCCACTGTCTCTGCTTCAGTTCCTGCCTCCAGGTTCCTGCCTCGAATTTCTGCTTTGACTTCCCTGGGTGATGGACTCTAAAAGATGAGATAAACCCTTTCTTCTTCACGTTGCTTTTGGAAATGGTACTTCATTACAGCAACTCATAAGTGATATTCCCAGTTTACTTTTCATATTCTGTCGCAATAAAAATGCCAGGAAACGGTGAAGCGGAGAGGAAAAAAAAAAAAAAATAACCAAGCAAGACAAGCCGTGATTGCTTGTAGTTTTATGGCCCCCAGAGCAAGGGCCTGCGTCAGAAGCTGGTGCTAGTTCGCTGCCAGGCGGAGCCCCTGAGCTAGCCTCTGGCTAGCCCTAGGTGGGCGGCCTCCCACGCTGCCCACGTGCCCCACGGCTGCCAACGGTCTTGAGCTCGGGTGTGCTTTCTGCACTCAGCCCCAGTCATGCCTCTGCTCTTCCTGCTTGCCGAGTTTGCCATGCTATTAGCCCGCCTCGGTAAGGCCCTGCGAGCACCCCACTCCTTCCCTTCTGCTTTTCCGCAGCCGAGAGAGGATAGCACCCTGGTCTCGGATGCCTAGTGATGCCCGTCCTCCATCTTGCCCCCCTCCAGCCCCAACCCCAGTCCGGAGTAGGTGAACCCAGGGTAATCACGGTGGCATCTGCGCTGTCTTTGGGCCTGGACAAAGAGCAGGAAAACGATTAGTCTTCTGAGGTCCGGGCATCCTGGGAAGAGGGGTGCAGGTGCTGGCTACCGCCGCCCTCTGGTTGCTCCCCGCAGCCCTGAGGAGGAATGGGACAGCTTGCCGGGTTGAACAGCTTGTCCTTTGTATTTCCAATGGCTCCTTACATTTTTGTCGAAAATTGTGCCTCTAACTTTTTGTCGAAAGTTGCACCTCTAGGAAGCGAGTGGGTTTATTACAAGTAAGTGTGCCAAGCACATCAGGGTCCCCAGGGAACTCAGCAATGCTGGCTGGAACTGGACTATCGAGGATTCAGGAAGTAAACCGAAGCAAACAAAATAAAAAAAAAAAAAACCCCAAACAACAAATTATACATTCTTGCTGCAGATTCGGAAGGAATATACCTGCACATCACAGTGCCTCGGAGGACAGAGCCGCGCAAGGGCGGAGATTCAGAAGGGAAGGTTAGTTTTCCAGAGCTGGTTCCCGCTCACTGCGCACCGCTGAGGGCGAACGAACGTTTGCTGACCCGGACTGTGGTCACTTGCATAGAACAGCCTTTTACTTCTTTCTCTGAGCCTCCCGCCCCACTGTTGTTTCCCGTGCCAGCTCCCTTTCCCCATCTGTTTCAAAAGTCTTTTTTTTTTTTTTTTTGTTCTCAGATTTCAAGAAACATTGAACATTTCCCAGAAGTCATTTTAGTAGGAAAATAAAATCAATATAGAAAAGATTAATGTAAAATGTACATGACAATGACCCAGAGTGCAAATTAAAAGCTTTTTTTTAGTAGAGAAACTGGTTTTTAGGAAAATTTAGAACATGTAAAATGAGACAAATGTCATCATAAGCTGAGTTCCATTAAAGAAAGGACTATAATGCATGTGTATGCATGCATACATACATATACGGATATACAAATACGTTGGGACACAGTTTGCCTGCCTAGTTCTAGATAATGAAGGTTCTAACAGTCAACGTGTAGGCAGGAAATACTTTTTCTCACTGAGAACCTGGAGGGTTCAATACTTGAGTACTCACTAGCCTTCCAGAGAGCACTGGTTCAATCACAAGCACCCACGTGGCAGTTTACAACTGTCTGCGGCTCCGGTTGCATGGTGTCTGATATACCTCCTCCCAGCCTTCCCAGGCACTGAACGTTCTCCTGCACAGACACATGCAGGCAAAACGCCCACAAACACTAAATAAATAAATAAATAAATAAATAAATAAATAAATAAATAAATAAATAAAATCATTTAAAATTTAGTTAGCATCCTGTCTGTCTGTCTCTCTCCATCTCTGTCTGTCTTTGTCTCTCTCTGTCTCTGTCTCTCTCTCTGCATGTGTGTGTGTGAGTGTGTGCGTGTGTGCCTGTATGTGTGTGTATCTGTTTGGATGCATACGTGCCAGGGTCCACGTGTGAAGGTTAGAGAATAATCCTGCCATGCCAGTCCTCAGGACAGAGCTTGAACTGTCAGGCTTGGAGGCAGGCTCCTTCACCCACTAAGCTATCTCAACAGCCCTTATATGCGAGTCTTGAAGTTGTCTTTACCATGATAGAATCTACTTTTGGAAATGACTTTTAAAGCTCTCTTGAAGTATTCTTGATAGTAAAAGTGCACACAGTGAACGAACATTTTGATGAGTTTTGGCATAGGCACACATCTGTGATGCCATTAGGACGATCGGTGCACTAAAGAGACTTAACACTATCTAAACTCTCCTTATGGGCTTTGGTGCTTTTATTTGTGGCAAGAACATGAACAAATGATCTACCTTCTTTAACAAATATTCACATGCGGTGTGTACATTGGTTCTCTAGAGCTGACTCATATTGAATATGTTAAAGCCACAACGCCACAATTCTCTATTTTTCCCACTCTCTAGACCTTGACAACTGGCAGTCTATTCTTGTCTATTCTGTGGACTTTTGGTTGTTAAGGCCAATCTCGCGTTGATCATTCCATAACTGATGTTTTACTTAATATTGCAATCTCTGGCCTCATCCAAACAAATGTGTAAGGATTGCCTCCTGTGAAAGCTGAAGAGTCGACCATTGTGGGGTGCGTGTGTACGCGGATAGAGGATTGTGTTAAATGATAACCAAAAACCTCAATCCTATTTACAATGTAGACACACACTGCCATCACCTTTTCTTTGCCTGTGCAACCATCAATACACATTTTATTCTTCATATTTTAGCAACTTTGAATCACTTGTAATGGATATTGAACAGTAGGTAAGCTCACAGAGACCTGACTTTCCTTCTTTTAGAAACGTAGTGATGTGTTGAATTGAGGGACTATGTGATAATTCTGAGTATTTTTTGAGGAGTCTCTACACTGTTTCCCATAGTGGATGTACCATTATCATTCCCACTGCTGGTGTATAAGGAGTCTAATTTCATTACATCCTCACCAACACGTCTTATCTTTTGTCTTTTTGGTAATAATAGCTATTTCAAGAGACAAACATAATGACTCATTATGGTTTTGATCTTTTACCATAAACAATGATGCTAAATATTTGTTTATATTGAGTATTTTCATTCTTTGTGTGCATATACAATATTTCCAGTGCCATTTATTGGAAAGTCTGTCCCTTTTCCAATGAATTTTCTTTTTTTTAATTTAATTTAATTTTATTAATTACACTTTATTCACTTTGTATTCCCCCATAAGCCCCTCCCTCTTCCCCTCCCAGTCCCACCCTCCCTCTCGTTTCTGCATGCATGCCCCTCCCCAAGTCCACTGATAGGGGAGGTCCTCCTCTCCTTCCTTCTGATCTTAGTCTATCAGATCACATCAGGAGTGGCTGCATTGTCATCTTCTGTGGCCTGGTAAGGCTGCTCCCCCCTCAGGGGGAGGTGATCAAAGAGCAGGCCAATCAGATTAAGTCAGAGGCAGTCCCTCTTCCCATTACTATGTAACCCACTTGGACACTGAACTGCCATGGGCTACATCTGTGCAGGGGTTCCAGGTTATCTCCATGCCTGGTACTTGGTTGGAGTATGAGTCTCTGGGAAGACCCCTGTGTTCAAATTTTCTGGTTCTGTTGCTCTCCTTGTGGGGTTCCTGTCCTCTCCAGATCTTACTATTTCCCACTTCTTGAATTTTCTTAGTGCTTTTGTGGGAAAAAAAAAAATCAATGTTGTAAATGTAAGTTTACATCTGAATTTTCTATGCTATTCTGTTGGCCTTCATGTCTGCTTTTTTCTTTCAACATCATGCTGTTTTGATTACTACAGTTGTTTTTTTTTTTTTTGTATATTTTGAAGTCAGTTTTGATGCTTTCTTCTTTGTTCTTTTTCTTTAAGATTGATTGGACTCTTCAAAATTATTTTAGGTTGCATGTTTATTTTAGAGGATTTCCCTCCCTAATTTTGTGAGAGACATCATTGACATTTAGAAAAGAACTTGTATTGAGTATAAAGATTATTTTTCACGGACTAGACTACCTTTCATACACAAAGTTTCATTTTATATGTAAAAATTAAATTTATAAACAAGTTAAATGTGACATAAGTTGAAAAGTACAGATTTTTCCTATGATATTATCAAAACAACAACAACAATAATAATAATATAAAAAACTTTAGAGGCTTTAAGAATCACCAAAACAAAATGATGCTTTTTGTACAGTTAGGATAGCACTCAGTGTTGTTAAGCATTTAAAAATTTATCATCAATCTTTTAAGATCATGTGTTCAATCACAATATTTAAGGATTATAAGACAGTTTCAAAAGTTGATAATTTATTTTTTTTTTGCAATTTTTAATTAATTTTATTTTCAAGTTCATTGATGTTTTGCCTACATTCATGTCTGTATGAGGGTGTCAGAAATCCTGAAACCAGAGTTACAGACAGCTGTGAGCAACCATGTGGGTGCTGGGAATTAAACCCAGGTCCTCTGGAAGGGCAGTCAGTGTTCTTAACTACTGAGTCATCTCTCCAGCGCTGGTGGTCAGTATCTTGAATTTTAATTTCAAGCTTAGGTTCCTCTTGGACATCTGAATTATCTCAGTTCACCCCGAGAGTTAATATTTCCAGTTACACGCTTCCCACATTTTTTTCTTTTAAACAACGTTTTTATTAGTTCCTTGAGAATTTCTTACATAATCCACCCCCAACTCAACCCTCCCTTAACCATCCTTTCCACTTTCTCATTCCTTCCCAGCCAACGTTGAAGTTTCTTCGTTATTTTTTTCCTCTCCCTATTGAATCCAGTTTGTGTTGCCCAGGTAGTCTTGGTGGTTGGGGCCTACCCTACTGTATGTCCACCTATCAGAGGGTCACATCATTAAAATAAATTGTCTCTTCCTCTCCTAGCAGCTACCAAATGCCAGTGGTCAGCTAGCGGCAAGATTTCATGGCTAGTTTCCTCCGATATTCTGGGGTTTTCTCTCTGTGTGTCTTTCTCTCTCTGTCTCTCTGTGGCTCTTTCTCTCTCTCAGTCTCTCTCTTGACTGAAGTGCAGGCAGTCTTATGCATATTGTTACAGTAGCTGTGAGCTCCATTTGCAACTTCTCTATGGGTCTAGAAAACACTGGTTCCTTGATGTTATTCACCCCCGTGGCTCTTGCCTACTTTCAGCCCCTCTTTCCCAGATATCCCTGCACCTTGTCAGAGGGATGTGATATGTGATAGAAGGCTGAGTACTTTGAAGTGTCTTCTTCTCTGCATATTGATCAGTTGAGGGTGTCTGTGTTAATTGTCACCCACTGCCAGGAGAAGCTCCTCTGATGAGGATTGAGAGGTGCTCTGGTTTAGGGATAGGAATCATCTTAACACTATGTTCATTTAGCATAATACTGCTTCTTCTGAGTGTGGGATGCCTTGCCATTTCTTTGTCATCTTCAAATATTTTATCAAAGTTTTATAGCTTTCACTCTTTCAACACACTGGTTACATATTTCTGGAATATTTTTTTTGTAGATATCATAAATGGGATTGCTTCTTTGATTTCCATTTAAGATAAACATCCCATGCTTTAGATTTTTTCTGTTGGTTTCTGTATTCTTAAAAAAAAAAGTTTAAATTCATGTATTTCTTCTACCAGAATTTTTAATTGAACTTTTTACTGCTATTGGTATATATGATATCATCTGCAATTAGTAAGTACTTATCTTCTATTCTAATTTTGATGGTCTGTATTTTTTCACACACACACACAGAGAGAGAGAGAGAGAGAGAGAGACAAACCTGGTGACCACTTCTCATTTTAGTCTTTGTGGTTTTGCCTTTTCTAGAATGTGTTCCAAACACAGTGACAATGTATCTAGATTGTGTATAAATTTTTTTTTCACTTACTAATATGTGTTTAATATTCTATCCTGCCCTTCAATGGCATGAGTGCTCCTTTCTTTCTCTTGCTAGGTAAAGTGGCATTATTTAGATGGGCCACTATTTGCTAATCAGTTGATTTTCTGAAATGCTCTCTGGTTGCTTCTAGCTTTTGGTGATTCTATTTTTTTTTTTTTTTTGGTGATTCTAAATGTAACAGCAAGCAACGTTCCTGAGCTGGTACAAATTGTTCATTCTTATATAAAAACAGCCAATGTAGTGATTGCCAAATCCTATGGTAAGGATATGTTTAGTTTTATGAGAAATTGCCAAACTTCGGTGAGCTGGTGATAATTTTTTTTTATGAAAGTATTGTTTCTATTTAAGAGACTAGAACTTTTGCTAGACATCAAATCTGAGTTAATCCCCTGTGAGGCTCTTTTAAATAAACCTGTAGAACATCCCACATTCCTTCCTCATGTTGTGTTTTCTGTGTTGTTGAATAAATGCTGTTTCTAGCATTAATGGCTGATATCTGCTGTATAAGGTCACCTTTGTCTTATTTGCTTTTTTCCCAAGATAATTATCAAAACACACATTTGTACAAAAGCATTCTTCTCTGGGACAGGAACATGATACTTTTACAGAACACTCGCACACCTAAGGCTAAGGAAACACTGCAGAGCGGGCAGAGATTCTAAGAGCCGGAGGATCAGAGGCTTAAGGGACTCTTGAGTGAATCGCTATTAAATTTACATTAAATGATGAATTGTTAACTCAGTTTTGACTTCGAGCAAAAGCTCCAGTCTCTTTCAACGTAAGAAATATTTTCATAAAATTATCACTGCAATCTTGTTTCTTCACTCTAGCATCGCGTTGGATCTGATGTAGCGCTTTGCAGGGGTCATATGGGGGCGCTGAGCAGCTTGGTCTACATCCGGGTCTTCTTGAACTTCCTGGTGTCTCCTACAAAGTTCGCAGGTCCTGTTAGTTCAGCTTAGAATGAAACGTGGAGAGGCTTGGCGTCAGTCTGCACTGGATGTAAACACGAGCTCCAAGGTCACTCAGGCTTTGGGTAACATGGACCAGGAGGGTGAAAGCCTTTGTCACGCAGTTCCTGATACTGGGAAGCCCCAACCCTGGGGCTGTAATATCCCTCATGCCTTCCTGTCTGTGTAGGCTTCTTTTCCCTTGTAGTTTTACATGTTGAGAGTTGATAATATGTGTAATATAATATGTATGTATTTATAAGTTGTTTATTTGTTCTTTATATTTGGTACGTAACACAAGCCGTCAATGATGCCTTATTTTTTTATTAGAAATTTATGTCTTCCTATACAAAAGAAATTGATGGAATATTAATAATGCTAAAATTATATTTTTCAAAATATATTTCTTTTAAACATTCTCAGCTACACACCAAATCACACTCTTCTGAAATCAATCAACTCTAAAATCTTACTAATTAACACAATAGACTCTAAAGAATATTTTATTTTTAACGTACTGAGGTATTTTTAATTAGCAAGTGAAAAATACTGTCTTACATTGCACACATCTGCTTTACTAAAATATCTATCAACTTGCTTTATTTTAGGTGACTTACATCATTACAGTTGATGGGAAACCCTACTCTCTGCATCTCAGGAACTAGTAAGACTTACTTTCTCTTTTGGCAAAAGGAAAAAAAAAGGGCAATGCTTGGTTTTTACTCTTTTAAAGTTTCTATGCAGTATTTAAATTTAGTAGTGCAGTAGAATAATGGTCAGTCAACTTTTCAATTTAGGACCCATTAGATCCATAGTATTGGGTCCATGAGGCTTTTGTATTTAATTTTTTAGAGTTATATATATATATATAATATTTATTTATTTTACATATGAGTGCTCTATCTGCATGTATACCTGTATGCCAGGAGAGGGCATCAGAGCCCAGTATAGATTGTGGTGAGCCACCATGTGGTTGCTGGGAATTGAACTCAGGACTTCTGAAAGAGCAGACAGTACTCTTAACCACCGAGCCATCTCTCCAGCCCCCAGATTTATATTTTTTTAATTGAGAAATAAATAACATACTTGGAAATCTTCAATTATGTGTTCTCTTGTACCCAAGCATGGTAAGTTGCATGGATTTCTGAAATCAAATACACAGTAATCAAGTGGCTACTGTTGGGAAATTCAAGTACTGTCAGCTTTTGGTGTACTAATTATTTATGTGATTTTAGACAACCTTTGTTAGGGTGTTTGACATATGAAAGTCTCCATTGTCAGCTTTGGTAACCTCAGTGCAGTGCAGAAATGGTTCTTTCCTTATGTAACAGGTCTCCTGTAATTTTGGTTAGTCTCTTCCCACCCACAGTTCAAAGCAGCAGCCAGTCTTTCTACATCTTCATTACATTTTCGCAGCATTTCTTCTGGGAAGGATCGGACAGTCTCTCCAGAGCCTCAAGGATCAACAAAGATGGGCGGCAATCCTTGCTCATCTTCCTTTCGCCTTGCTGTTGAGCACGGCTGCAGAGGTTATCTTCAGACATAGTGTCTGCTAACCTCACACTGGCCTTTCCTTCTACAGTGTGGCCCACTGAAAGTGATTGGAAATTTTTATAAATTATCACTGGCCTTCAGACTTTTTAAATGCTGTGGTTGTGTTTCAGTCTTCATTTAGTCGTCCTTTCTCTACCAACTGATGACATTTGGCATAACTGGTCAATGTCTTTTTTTTTTTTCACAAAATGTTTTCTCCATTGGATTACAGGATACCATCCTGCCCTGGCCCTGATCTGACTCTTACCAGTATTCCTACCGTTGTCTTTCTGCCTGCATTACTCCTTCACAAATTCTGCTTCATCTTTCTGATCTGAGACTACGAAATGAACCTTATTTGTAGTGCGTATTCAATCAGTTTGTGTTTCGGTTCAGTCTTGTGCCTATAAGTGTATTCACTGTTGGCTGCTTGTAATTTGTATCTATACATTATTCCATTGCAATGGATGCCACACCCATTCACTACTTATTTCATAATCAAAGGTTTGCTACAGTTCCTGTTAGCAACTTGCTAAAAGTGAACTTTAATGCTCTTCCCAAGTCCTCAGTTTTTATTACCTGCTTAGTAAATGGCAAGCCATTCTTTTATTGTTGTTGTTAAAAAGCAAAAGGGAAAATGAAAAAGTTAGTACACTCCTTGGACTCATCTTTAGCACTTTTTTAAATTTTTCCTTCTCCCAGGTCCAGGGAGTTATTCTCTCCTATGTGTTTACTCTTCAAGCGTATACATAATTGGTGGAACATGGCTTCCATCATGACCCCATCATGGATGGCCTGGATGGCAGTGTTGGTCTTCTACCTGGCCTTAGCTTCTGTGTATTTGCCCTGCAGATTGCTGTCAACATAGAATTGGACTCTCTTAAAATGTTGGTCTGCTACTCTCTTCATCTGCCCCAACCCTCCAAAGTTTTCACCATCTGTGACACTATCTCACTGTCTTTCTTGTCGCTCCACACTTTGTTCCAGACACAGTATCCATTGCTGGTTCTTCATATATGTAAACACGTTTTTGGATCAAGTCCCTCTCATTTTATCCCAGCTCTGTCTGAGAGTCCATATGCCTTGTTCTTTGTGTCTAGTAGTCATCTATCTCACGAGCCTTGTCCCGTCATCCTGTATACTCTGTGTCCACGCTACAACACCCAGGCCTTGTTCCTTGTCATTTAACAGTAGGTGGCTCTGTCTGACCAGAGGCTGTATACTGTCTTCCTTCAGTGCTCTATTCTAGGACCCCGAAGAAGCCCCATCCTGTGGCAGACATAGTAGCGGGTATTCGTTCAGTGAAGCCATCCCTGACAGTGCTGTCCTAGGGTCTGTCCAGGTGTTGAGTTTTCATGATTCTGCCCATCTACCAGTTTTTAGAAAAACAGTATCAAGAATGATAACACGCTAAAATTGTTATGATTAAATCCTGTTATTATATGAAACAATTGCACTTAACATTATTTTTACTAGTGTGTATATTCGAGTTAAACTATGTCTTAAATTGTATTTATTGATTTCCTTCTAGCTCATTCATATCCCCGAATTTTCTGGTTTATACACGTAATGAAACTGGAATTTTGTATTCTGACTCTTCACGCTTTATGGTAAGAATCAGATGTCTTAGATATTTGTTGTCTTATGTTTTGCTGTTGAAAGGGATGCACAGTATAATTAGAATACTTTAAGTCTGTGGTTGCTGAGGCTGAACTCAGGACTTTGCATGTACCAGGAGAACCCTCCCATGGTGCTACGTCCCAAGCTCCATGTTGACACTAATTCAAATGTTTTCCTCCTTGGAACTCTAACCAACTGTCATATGGATAATTGTTATACATGGAAATGCCATGGGAAAGGAGTAGAAAAATGGAGAAAACACACATGTGCCAGGTAAAGAGTGCCCCAAATCTTATTTCCCGAGACTTTGCATTACTGTTTCTACACAATTCATGATTTAATATTATCAAATCTATTACTATCATAAATTCTGAAATATTTGGCAGCACATTTTGTTGTTGTTGTTGTTGTTCTTAAAAAAAAGAAAAGAGAATTTGGTGTTTACCTGTGTGACTTGTTTTTTAGACACACTGCCATTACCGAGGATATGTTGAGGAATCTCCAAATTCCACTGTGACCCTCAACACCTGCTCTGGTCTCAGGTAACAACATCCCAGAGAATCTTTATATGTAAATGCAGTGGGAGATGCCTTAAACCACAGCAAGTGGACATAGATCCAGAGAAGCTACAATGAAACTCTGAAAGTTAGTTTTCCAGTGGCCTTCCATTCATCCCAACATCTGAACCTAGGTTGTCACTCGGATTAACCCAGCTAAGGGCATCCTGAGCAGAAGTGTTTCCCGGATGCTGGGTTGGATGGGATGGTCTGAGAAATGAGAACTCTAGAGCACTTTAAAAGCTGGAGGTTTACTTTCTGTTGTTATCTAAATGATGGGGAAATGGTCTTCATTGGTTATTTAACTCTAGTAGACCCACACAATACAGTATGAGTTTAGTGCCGAGCATGAGACAGCTAATAAAGAAGACTCCTCGGCGATCAAGTGGTTTCACAGAAATGAGTGAATTTGACATTTCTGTGGGAAATGCAAAGAGGTCGTCAAAGGAAGATGACTCAGAAATAGAGAAGGGAGGCTCTGCGTTCTCTCATGTCAGTGCTTTCAAGATGTCTATTATGAATTCTGCTTTTTTCTTAATGTCACCTTGTAACTACCAGAACATTCTTCTTAGAATTCTCATCAACTTCTAGGTCTTTGTCTTCCTTAATGTATTGTATTTATTGTATCTGTGGACACGAACTAACTTATGCGTCAGTTGACCTCACCGTGGCATTTCGACACAACTATGCAGCATGGCTTCAACTCCCTGCTCTTACACCCTTTCCTCTTCCCTATGGCTACTTCCCTTGTAGCCTTTCCATTAATTTCAGTAGCCCTCAAAAATTGTTTTCTAACCCACACTGCAAAAAGAAAACAAGATACTTGTCTTTCTGCATCTGCCACAGATGTTATATCATTTAACTCCATCATCTTCCTGTATTTGGCATGAGTTTTTGTGGCCAGACGGTACTCAGCTCTGTATATAGCTCGTATTTCCTTCGTGCAGTCACCTGTTAGGGACAGGTAGGTAGGCTTCATATTTTGGCTACTGTGAGTACTGTTGCCATAAACACAGCACTAGGACCCTTTTAGGTCCCCTGACTCTGTTTCTCTCTGTGTTTCGTGGTTCTGCTCCGACACACCATCCATGAGCTTGTGCGCGGGAAGCCTGGTCCCAGGTGGTGTCACAATAAAAAGATGATTGCTGATGGGTTGATCCATGATGAGTTCACGGTGGAAGGGGCTATGAGGTGAAGGGGCTTAGGCAGAGGACAGAGGTCACTGGAGTGTTATCTCTGAGGTGTCTGTCTTGTTTCCCTCCCTCTTTGGTTTCTGCCCAATGTGAAGTGAAGAGCTGTTCTTTTATGTGTCTTGAACCACGAGGCTCTGCCTGTCCACAGGCTCAGAAAAAAGGCCAAGAGCTCACGAGCTGGAGTCCCCAAAACCATGAGGAAGATATAAATCCTTCCTGTCCAAGGTTTCTCGGGTGCTCTGTCACGCTGGTGGAAAGCTGCCGAGCACCGTGCGTGCCCAGGAGTGAAGGAGCCGGCTGCTTCCCGCCAGCACTGTGTGGAGCTCCTTTTCCCTCGTCACGGCTGGCGTTTGCTATTTTGGATTTCAGGGGTGATAGCCATCCCTACTGGCACCAGGAGAAATCTCAGTGCCATTCTCCCCTTTCTTTCTTCCAGTGTTTGGGCATCTCTCCAAGGACTTGGGCCGGGCATGCAAGTGCTCTACCCCATGCTAACCTACCCTGTAGTTTTGATCTGTATTATCTGTAGTTTTGATTTGATGTAGTGTTGATTTGTATTTGTCTGATGGGAAATGAGCTTGAACATTTTCCATGTATTTACTGACCACTTGAACACATTTTGGGAAGTGACTTTTATGTCTTTTTTTTTCCATTTATTGACTTGATTACTGTTTTTTTCTTAATTTTTGTGGTTATGCACATATATATATATATTTTTTTTTCTAGGTACTTGTCCAGTGGGACAGATGAATGGTTGACAGTATGACATTTCATTGTTTCATTGATTGTTTCCTTTGCAGGCACTTTTAGTTTGGTTATCTCTTACTTATTAAGACCCCTATTTTTGTTTGCTTATTTTCTAAGCAAAGCACTTGCCAATGCCTGTTCTTGTCAATGGCTAATATAAACGAAGTTTTTCCTGTATATTTTCTTCTAGTACTTTCAATGTTTCCTATCTTATACTAAATTCTCCGGTCAATTTTTGGTTGAATCCTATATAATATAAGAGAGGGATCTATGTTAGTTTTCTACTTGTGAATATCTAATTTTCCCAACAGCATTCACACAGATTTTTCTCCAGTGTAAGATATTGTTCTGTTTGTCAAAAATCAGTTGACTGTAGATATGTGGTCTCATTTCTGTGTTCTCTACCTACCCCATTGGTCTATGCTTTTGTTTCATGTCAGTAACAGGCCATTTTGTTACAACAAGCATAACTGTAGTGTAACTTGAAATTCAGTATTTTGATGCTTTAAAACTTCTGGATTTGCCCAGAATTACTTGAATGATCAGGGTCGTTTGTCCTTCCACACAAACCTTGGGATTTCCCCCACCCCCGAATTTAGATTTTTTAAAATCAGGATTGCAGCAAACTTGTATATTTCCTTGGATATCATGGCTGTTTTGTGCCAGAATCTCTCCTCTCTGTGACCATCTCTTATGTTTGAGCTTCACCCAGTCACTGTGTCGAGGTCTCCCCAGGAATCTCAAATTGTGTCTTTTCATGTTTCCTAGCCAAGACAGTAGTTTGGGTCCCCAACAATAATGCCTTTTCTAGGTAGTTCCTGGTTACAGACCTCAGTGGTGCTACGGGACAGAATAGATTTGTTGTCAGAAGGAGTCAATCCTGTCAGACCGTATTTCATATAGGGTATACAACTCTTAAGAAACAAGAAAGCGGATATGGGGTAAGATGATCAATCCTCACTTAGAAAGACAAATGGGATATGCATTGGCTGTATGACAGGAGTCTACCGCAGAAGGCATCTGAAAGACTCTACCTAGCAGTGTTTCAAAGCAGACACTAAGACTCATAACCAAACCTTCGGCAGAGTGCAGGGAATCATATGAAAGAAGGGGGGAGTTAGTATGACGTGGAAAGGATAGGAGTTCCACAAGGACCAAATATATCTGGGCACAGGGGTCTTTTCTGAGACTGACACTCCACCAAGGACCATGTATGGATATAACCTAGAACCTCTGCTCGGATGTAGCCTGTGGTAGCTCAATAACTAATTGGTTTCCCATAGTAAGGGGAACAGGGACTATTTCTGACAGGAACTCAATGGTAGACTCTTTGACCTCCCCATCCCCCAAGGAAGGAGCAGCCCTTCTAGGCCACAGAGGAAGACTTTGCAGCCAGTTCTGAAGATACCTGATAAAACAGGGTCAGATGAAAGGGGAGGAGGTCCTCCCCAATCAGTAGACTAGGAAAAGGGCAGGAAGGAGATGAGGGAGGGAGCCTGGGATTGGGAGGGAATAAAGGGAACGGGATACAGCTGGGTTACAGAGTTGATAAAATGTAACTAATAATAAAAAAAATTAAATTAAACTAAAAATATATATAAAATGTAAACCACTTCTGTTGTATAATATATAACTTTATTATTTATAATACATATTATATTACACAGAAAAAAAAAAGAACGGGGGCTTCTCGTAGCAGCTCAGTATCCAAATGGGTTCCCTAGTAATGGGAACAGGGACTGTCTCTGACATGAACTCAGTGGCTGGCTCTTTGATGACCTCCCCCTGGGGGGGGGGGGGAGAGGAAGCAGCCTTACCAGGCTACAGAGGAGGACAATGCAGCCAGTCCTGATGAGACCTGATAGGCTAGGGTCAGATGGAAGGGGAGGAGGACCTCCCCTATCAGTGGACTCAGAAGGGGGCAGGGAGGAGATGAGGGATGGAGGGAGCTACAGCTTAGATATAAAGTGAATAAACTGTAATTAATAAAACAATAAATAGATTTTAAAAAAGAATGGGGGCTTCTCCTGCGTTGGGCCTGCTGGTCTGTTGTTAGCATCGTGGTGGTGGTGAGTGTGGACTATGTCTTAGCTTGGACTCTCTGCATCTGGGCTCCGCCCACGCTGGGGAGTCAAGCTTGAAGTTGCCAACAATTCTGTACTTCGCTGCAAGTTGCCTTTTCTGACTCCATACTCCTCTAGTCCTCTCTCCTCTCACTAGAACACAACTTGTCTTGTGTTGTTCAGATGCCTCTTCTGTCCCTGAGACATACGTGGTGGACTTGAATTTTGTCTTCCTTCCCCGGGACCCCAGCAGATCTTGAATTGTAGTACTGTCTTTTAAAAGGAGGGCAGTGCTGGCGAGGGCAGTGTGCTCGTGCTACCTCAGCTCGGTAGCCAAGGAGGATCCAAAGTTGGAAATCACCCCGTGCTATACCTCAAAATGAAGACCAGTGCTAGCAGCTATTTTTTTTTTTTTTAATAGTGGTGCCCACAACAGCAATCAGGGAAACATGCTTAAAGTCATTTGCTTCACTGTGGTTTATTTCTCACGTCTTAGATGACAGCTTTGGGCGGGGCGGTATGCACGGTTTGGATAGTAATTGCCTTTCTGAATTCAGGGGGTTCCTGCAGTTGGAAAATATCAGCTATGGAATTGAATCACTGGAGTCTTCAGCAAGATTTGAGCACATAGTTTATCAAGTGAAAAACGACAATCCAGTGTCAGCAGAAAACTACAGCCGTATCTGGCAAACAGGACAGCCCAATAAAGATCATTTCGACGCACAGGTAACCGTAAGGGTTCTAGTGGTAAGGAACACTGAGGAGTCGCTCCCATTGTTTGTCAGTCGTGAAGGGAGACTAATCGGCTGATGAGTGGAGATACTACATTTCATAGCCTTTGATTCTATGCCTTGCAATAAAGCATTCAAATGCCACATAACCCGGAAGTGTACTTATCGTTACACTTCAAGTTGATTGCCTTATGTTGTACTTGTAACATTTTTATGTTGGCACTTTTCAATAACAAAGATTCCCTTTGTTATTGAACCAGGCAGGAAGAGTAGCCATCATTTCCAGGGGCCTTCTGAAAGTGCTTTCAATGTTTCATATGCAGCCTCGTATGCTAATGGAATGTATTTTCTGAGATATGCAATCATTTCTATATTGCTGAAGATAGAGAGAAATACCACCAAGCTCTAGCATCAATTACACTATGATTTTAAAAGGATTCACTAATAAACTTACTGAGAAAATACCAAGTTTCATAGAAATGAGGAATTCAGTTGAGGGGCATTGTTCATCACTCAAACATGGAAGATGGCTACAGACTGAGCAGTTTCCCCTGGACAATATAGAAAGATAAAGAGAACATGTACACACACACACACACACACACACACACACATACACACACACACACTCATTGTACACACATACACTAAATCTTCTTTGAAACTTGTTCATTAGGGCCAGTTGCCAATTAAAAGTCCCTTCCACTCTTCAGCAGAAACACACCGAATGGCCTCCAGAGAATGGAGGGTCCACCCGCTCCGGGGAAGCACTAGTCTTTGGTATTATATGACACTGTTTGGAGATTCGAACTCCAGGTCGGAAATCAAGGGCGCATCAAAGTCTGGATACCACCAAAGTCCAGTTTAGTGAACCAGTGTTTTATTGGGCTTAACCTACAGGACTCTGGGTGAGGGGTTGCTTACAGGAACAGAAATGACTCTGTTACAGGAACAGCTGCATCGCCTTGAAAAAAAAAAAAAAAGCACCAAACATGAATGGTCAGTGGCTCACAAACCTGGAATCTGGAGGGTGGGGCTCCTCCAAGCCGCTCTACAGGTCAGAGGGTGCCTCTTCTGGGCAGCCTGTAGTCTGAGGCAACTCCAGGCCGCTCACATCTGTGGCAATGCTGCGTTAACAGCAGAGAGTAGGCCTGAATTGTTCTGAGGAAGTCAGGCCTCTGCCTGTTCTCATCAGAGTGACAGGGTCTGATCTAAGAGGCAGCCCTGAACGAAGGCGCCCTCTATACACGGAACAGCACAGCAAGCAGATGCAGTAATGAAAAGGAGCGAGAAACTTGTTTCCTTAACTAATCTTTTACAGAGGTCTCAGGAGAGAGACAACCGTTTTTCTGGCCTTATTGATTCAGAACAACATACAAAGCCACAATGAGATATTAACAGAATGCTTCCAACAAACGGGGTGTGGGGTGCTGCCATTGCTTTCAGTGCTGCACTGTTCCACCAGGTGGTCTTCAAACACACATACATTGCTAAGTTTAGGCCAAAAAAAAAAGAGCCACAAAGGAAAAATAGGGAGCAAGGTACATTGACACATCCAAGGCAGAGTAATAGGAATTAAAATGGTTTTCTCGGCACTCCATTAATTCTGAACAGGTTCAACATACTATATATAAGCAGAATGAGTACATAGTTTTAAATGACCTTAAAGTATTTGGGTACCCGTTTGCTTTTAAAGGCAAATTTTAAACAACTTCTCAGAAAGACTGTTCCCATGCAGGCTGGTCACTGGCTCTTTTAGGCAACTTGGCTGGACTAAGTATGTCTCTTAGCTGACGTTATGGCTTGTATGCTTTGGGGAAGTAAAGTCTTAGTGGATCAGGCCAGTTTGAAAGACTTTCTAAAGCATTTCCCCCATTAATATATGTATTTATTTACTTTACATACTTCCTGATTACAGCCCCCCTCTCCTCCCAGTTTCACCCTCACACCCCCTTCCCCATTGCCCCTCTCCTCTTCCGCAGAGTAAGGGAGGCCCCTCATGGGTACCAGCCTGCCCTGGTACATCAAGTCACAGCAGGACTAAGCACATCCTCCCACTGAGGCCGGACAAGACAGCTCAGCCAGGGGAAAGGGATCCAAAGGCAGGCAACAGAGTCAGAGACGGGCTTCTATTCCAATTGTTAGGGGACCCCCATGGAGGACAAGCTGCTATGGTCTACGTCCAGCCCGTGCATGCTCTTTGGTTGGTGGCTCAGTTGGTGAGCTCCCATGGGTCCAAGTTGGTTGGACTCTGTTGGTCTTCTGGTTGTGCCCTTGACCCTCTGGCTACCTTAATCCTTCCCCCCCACTCTTCCACAAACTTACTGAGCTCTGCCTCTTGTTTGGCTGTCGGTCTCTGCATCTAGTTTCCATCAGTTGCTGGATGAAGCCTCACAGAAGACAGTTACGCTAGGATCTTGTCTGCAAGCCTAGCAGAGTGTCGTTAATAGTGTCAAGGGTGCCAGGCAAGGTGGTGCACACCTGTAATCCCAGCACTCAGGGAGGCAGAGACGGGTGGAGCTCTGTGAGTCCAAGGCCAGCTTCTTCTACAAAGCAAGTTCAGGACAGTCAAGGCTACACAGGAAAAAACAAGGGTCAAGCATTGCTCTCTCCCATGGGGTGGGTCTCAAGTTGGGCATTATTGGTTGATGCTTGTAGATCTTGTAGCAGGACAAATTTTGGGTCAAAGTCTCAGGCAGGGTCACCTCCATAAATTCCCAGGAACCTCTCCCTTCCCAGAGATGCCCCCCGCCAGTTTCCATTCTACTTCCTGAATTTAACCAGCTTCTCTGTAGAATGGATTGTTTCACCTCCTTTTATTTCAAAAGTGGGGTACTGCATCCAGTATTTGAAAAGGAACCCAAGTAATCCACCATATTACTGGTGTAGAAGAAAACTCACATTTTATCCATTGTGTAGTAAAAGAAGAGAACAAAATACTCATTTGATGCAACCTTGTAATAGACTGAAAGTTTGTGCTTGATAAATAATATTCATAAAAATCTAATCAGATATGATACTCAATGACAAAGCTCTGATTGCTTTCTTGTAAAAATCTGATAAACTCAAGAATGTCTCCCTTCATCACCCTAACCCATCACAGTACTGGATTCCTTGGTGGATTATGTGATGCTCTTGTATCCAATGATGGAAATTCACACTTAGCAAATATTAGAATGATATATAAAAATCCACTACACTCCTATAAACACCAGGTAAGGGTAGACACACCGTACACACAAACCACAAGTACTGATTTAATAAATAATATATAACTAAGTAAAAGGAGGAAATACTGTTTATGGGACTGTAAGATTTGGCATAGAAAGGACTACATTTTTTTTTCTGAAAGTGACATATGAATTTCACATAATGGAATAAAAACCCAGCAATAAGTAGATACATAAGTACTGTATATCAATATAAGATAGCATGTTTTTACATGATCTATATTGGAAATAAAATGTGCCTCAGACAAAAATCTCACACCATAAAGAATCATAACTATCTCATTATTGAAAATAAAAACACTTGAAAATGATTTAGGACCTCAGGCACAGCCCATAGGAGAAAGAAAAGACCAGCTGGCCTCTCTTAAAATCCAAGTGTTTTAATCTGCAGAAGACCATGTGGCAATAATGAACACATAAGCTCCACATGGGGAGAATGTGATGAAGACCAATTCTCAGCTGCTAACTTTCCTGTGGACTTTTAATTTTTTATGTATTTAGCTCATTCTCTCCCTCCCTATGCTCTCTCCAATTCTTCCTGTACTCCTTTCCATTCCTCAAATTCATGATTCTTATTCTTTAATTGTAACTGTTTTACACACACACACACACACACACACACACACACACACACACACACAGAGAGAGAGAGAGAGAGAGAGAGAGAGAGAGAGAGAGAGAGAACTGGAGGGAGGGAGAGAGAGAGACTTTTATAAACACAGCCCACTGAAATCATTCAGCGTTGCACATAGGTGTTTTGAGCAGCCCTCTTGGCATTTGCTAACCTAACCAGAAGCTCATATCACCCACCAGCACCTAAATTTCTCCTTCTAAGGGTGAAGCCCTCACAGGGAATATCTCATGTTTTGAAGTGAAAGTAATGTTTTTTATATTTGAGTCTTGATGATGGTTTTATGTATGTCTTTCCTGATTTCTTTGCATGTTAACTTTTGCTTTTAGGAAGCTCAGTACACAGTGACAATTAGTATATATTTTTTATTGTTTTCCAGGATAAAAATTATTCACAACTAATACCTCAAAGTCTAAAATTGCACATTATAGTGGAAAAATCTTTGGTAAGTCAGTCTCCATTCTTGCCTCCTTCCTGTCTCCTTCTATTTCATTTCCTTCTTTTCTCAACTGTGCTATCCCCTCTTCTATTTCCCTTTCTTTTCTGTTCAGCTCCTCATTCGCTCCCCCTGTCCTCCTCCATTTCTTCCTTAATAGAGACAGAAATGATTTGTTTTCTCTGACTTAACTTTTGACTTAGCAGGTGTGTGTGTGCTTCGCCACCTTCTATAATCCTTATTCACTCAGTGTTGCCTGCTTTATAGAATTAAATTTTTGAAAAGGCAACTGAACAGTAAGAAAGTTATACTGTGATACAGTGTACATTAATGTAAAGTAAAATAGTATAATGTACTGTACTGTACTGAACTCAACTCTACTGAACTTACTGCCTTCTCTACTGACTCTCTAAAGACTGACTGACCTCAACTTAGCTGCCCTTCTCTGCACTCCCAATCTCCTCTCTTTCTTGTTCTGTTCTTGTTAGAGTTGGGCGTATCCTGTTCCGTTAAATCTTCCTCTGATTCATCATGTCGTCTGCCCATCAATTAGAAGTCACTTTCAAACATGGATGCTTCCTTTTACAACTTAACTTTACCTTCATTGTTTAAGATTAAATGTGTGTACCCAAGGGCATTCCAGCCCCAGGGATTAAAGCTGTGTCATTCCAGCTGGATCATGCAGACCTAGAAGATTTTTGGATGTGATCAGAGCAGCCATGTTGCTGGATTACAATTCCTCTACACATATGTATACCAGTCCTGGTGCTCTTTACATTTTTATTTTGTTAATTAATGTTGTAATTTTATGAATATCATGAACATGGAACACAGATCACATACTATATTAGTATCTATATTCTTTTGCACAGCATGGTGTTTTTGAAGATTAATTTACAGTTTTTATCTTATACTAATGTGAAGAATGCTAAAGCTGGAAGCTATAAAGAATAAAGTTGCTATCAATATCTTTGCCCATAAAATTTTGTAGACAATTTCTTTTGAGAATCTACCTACAAGTGGAATTGTTATACAATTTCCAGCTATAGAGGCCCATTCAGTGTGGGATGGAATCTGCAGAGCTATGTCAGTGCCTCTTGTTTTATCCTTTTTTTGCTTGAGAGTCTGAGAAGTTACACTGAGTCCATTTCAAATGCCGGTGTGCCCTTGTGTCTTTGTTTTTGTTTTTTGTTTGTTCAAGATGGGATTTCTTTGTGTAGCCCTGGCTGTCCTGGAACTCATTCTGTAGACCAGGCTGGTCTGGAACTCACAGAGATCCTCCTGCCTCTGCCTCTCAAGTGCTGGGATTAAAGGCATATACCACCACCACTAGGCTTTGTTGTTGTTTTTAATGAAAATTACAAATTTATTTTTGTATTATATAATTACAATTTATGATGCAATTATGTTTAATATAAATTATATATGATTACATTATAATTACTATAAAATTATAATTCTAATAATAAAATAAAACTTTCATAACAGCTGAGAGGTGGTGGCACACCTTTAATCCTAGCACTTGGGAGGCAGAGGCAGGCAGATCTCTGAGTTTGAGGCCAACCTGCTCTACAAAGCAAGTTTTAGGACAGCCAGGATTACACAAAGAGAAATCCTGTCTCAAAACAAAACAACAACAACAACCAAAATAATAAAATAAAATAAAATAAAATAAAATAAAATAAAATAAAATAAAATAAAATAAAATAAAATAAAA